TTTTCTGTGCATCTAGTTCAATAAGATCCTCGTTACTGAGCTCTTCTGCTACACTTTCAACCAACTGCTCAACATCTTCATTATCAATTTCTAACTCCAGCTGTTTACCCAACTCCACTATCATGTTACTAATCTCAGAAATTGCTTCATTTTCATTAAATCCTTTGAAACTGTTCACATATCTTTTCAGGACCTTCCATATTCCATTCATGCACTGATCTGCAAACTCATCCCATGCTGCAGCTATGTTCTTTATACATTTCAAAATGTTGTTGTCCTTCCAAAACTCTTGAATGTTTTCTCACCTTCAGTAGCAGCAACAGCCTGAGTGAAGGTCGCACGTATATAATACGCTTTAAAAGCGGCAATAGCACCTTGATCTATGGGTTGGATGATAGAGGTAGTGTTAGGTGGAATGTAGACTACCTTAACATCAGGGTGCAGGTCGTCCAGGTGTGGTGGGTGTCCCGGAGCATTTTCTAAAATTAATAAAATCTTGAACTCAACCCCTTGTTGCAGACAATACTCCTTGGCTCGTGGAATGAAACAACTCGGGAACCAATCCTCAAACAATGCTGGGAACATCCATGCTTTCTCAATACTGCGAGAAAACACTGGCAGTGTGTGTTTGCTGATATTTTTAAAAGCCCTTGGGTTCTCTGAATGGTATATCATGAAGGGTTTTACCTTGAAATCAGCTACATTCCCCCCCCCCAACAGAAGTGTGATTCAGTCCTTGAACCCATGCATGGTTTTTGCCTCTTTGTGGATGTATGTCCATTCTGGAATGTGCTTCCAGAATAAGCCAGTTTCATCCACATTAAATATTTGCTCAGGCAAATAATTTCCCTCCACGATGACACGATCTAGCACCTCCTTAAAAGCTTCGGCAGCACCCACATCAGCACTTGCTGCCTCTCCACTTACCTTTACACTGTGCAAACTGTAACGGTTCTTAAACCTTTGGAACCTCCCATGACTTGCTGTGAAGTTTTGGTCGGACTCATCTCCTGCCTGCTCTTTCAGGCTTTCGAAAAGGCTTCTTGCCTTAGCCTGTAGGGTTTGAAGGCTTAAGGGTACACGCTTTTGCATCTGATCTTCCATCCACACTACAAGTAATTTTTCCATCATGAATAAGACCTTGTCTCTCTTTTATATTATTATTGTTATTATTGTTCCCTTTATAGGTGCTGATCATTTCACTACCTCACGAATTCGTTCCTTGTCCTTCAAAATTGTTGATATCGTCGAGTGAGAGAATCCTAGGTCGCGTGAAATGGTTGCTACCGTTTTTCCATTTTCATATTGCATTATTATTTTCATTTTCATCTCAAAAGTAATTGACTTTCTTTTTCTTTAGAGCTCTACCAGAACTCTCACTTTTACGCTTGCCAGTCATTTTAAAGGGAATTGGAAACAAAAATATTTTCAGTACACAGCGCGATCACTTCCGACAACAATGACGGCCAAACACCAACTTAGCGCGCTACAACGTGGACGCTGTACACCACGAGGCGGCCCAGCCCCCGCCAGTCTGTCATACGGGGCGGAAACGTTTCGGTACTAGAAAATACGTACGGAATTTGAAAACTTTTTTGTACCACTGCGGCTGTAGTATGTCCGGGTGGTCGTATGTCGAGGAGTACCTGTATATGGGAATTACGACAACAAGCATCCAGTGAGGGTTTTTTTTGTGTGACTGCATGGAGGCGAATTAAAAAGCTGTTGAGGAGCTTCTCGCTTGGCAACACTGGTGCATTTTACCACTCCTTTCCACTCCATCTCTCATCACCCACACGTTTTTGCTTTCTCATTCTATATTTAAAAATTTTATGTAATATAATGTTGAAGGGATGCAACTTTGCTCATTTATACTTATCACAATCTCCCTAAAATTACCTTAGCTTTCGTGTTTATCCAAGACATCTTCAGGTCATGAGACCCACTAATCCCCCAGCCAAGAAAGGGTGACCTGACATTCCATCAGAAGGTCAGTAATACGAGACCACTAATCCTCCACCCTGCCTGCACCTGACAATCAGTCAGGTCAGGTCATGGCCCCCTCAAAAAAAAAATACGTTAACTTTCATCATTATTCAAGGCATTTTCAGAAAATTCTCTTGACTTTCACCCTCGGAATTTTTTTTTCCAAAAGCTGGAAATTTGTGGAAAATTTCAGCTTTGGGAATTATTTTCCAAGCAAATTTCAATTCCGGCTATCGGAGATTTCTGGGTTTGAGGGGTTCCAGCTATTGGCGATATTACAGTATTACCCCGCCTAACGCGGTTTCACTTAACGCGTTTTATCATATACGCGGTGCCTCGCCAGAGCTGAACTTTCACTTAACACGGATTTTTTTCCACATATACGCGGTGAGTGTCCGGCTCGAGACGCTATTTTTAGATTTGCCCCACCCGCCACCCTGCCTGACTGCCTGTTTTAGCTCATAAAATTCATACAAATTACCCGGCCAGACTATAATTTACATTGCTGGAATTCTTATAATTTGGTGATCATTTTGAATATAAACATCATATATTTTGCATTAGACATACAAATTTTAGATAAAAATTTTTCTCAGAGTAACTATGTTATCTTTTGTGCAAAATATATGACATTTATATTCAAAATATTCCTGGTCTTACAAGGAATCCAGCAATGTCAATTATATTATCCTAACTTTAGTTTGAGGTATTATTTATTACAAAAAAGTTAAGTATTCTGGTTTTCCCACACATCTCCTTGGGACGGTTGGTGGGGGGTGGGACCGACCGACCATCTGTTACCCCGTGAAGAATATTTTTTTTTTTTTATTAACTGAAGATATTTGTTTTAGCTCATAAAATTCATACAAATTACCCGGTCTGAATATAATTTACATTGCTGGAATTCTTATAATTTGATGATCATTTTGAATATAAACATCATATATTTTGCATTAGACATACAAATTTTAGATAAAAATTTTTCTCAGAGTAACTATGTTATCTTTTGTGCAAAATATATGACATTTATATTCAAAATATTCCTGGTCTTACAAGGAATCCAGCAATGTCAATTATATTATCCTAACTTTAGTTTGAGGTATTATTTATTAAAATTTAGTGGTTTTCCCCCAAAAATTTCTCGGAGAGGGAAGAGCCGGCAGTGTAGTGTGAGAGGGGGAGGGAGTTGAGTCCATTATTTGAATGGACATTAACTTGGCGACTGTATTTCTCTATTTCTTTTAAGTATTAATTGTGTGCATGTACCATCATAAAATTAAGATGTTATTTTTACTACAACATAGTTATGTGTCTTCAAAAAGTGGAGTTTGGGGGTCGGGCCGGTTTCTATTGGAATTAATCCCATATGTTCTGTTGTTCACTTAACGCGGATTTCACTTAACACGGGACCCTCTGGGTTCTATTGACCGCGTTAAGTGGGGTACAACTGTACTGTAATACGCTCATACCTACGGAGTCACCTCAGACACTTGGTACAGTCAAATCTACTTCAGCCTATGGCAAATGTACTAAATGTATAAAAATGAGAAATGATATAAAGCAATTACCGGAAAATCTGAGAAAATAACTCAACCTTTCTGCTCCGGATCTGGGGACAAAGGTTCCTGGTGTTATGAAAGATTGTACCTTGTTTAGCAGCATCCTCATATGGTTGGTGCGTGGGTGGGAAGACCAACTGCTTTGGTAAAGCTGGATTTTTCTGCTTGGGGTCTATTTATAATGACTGTGCAAACATAAATTTATTTTTAATTGTACTTACAATACTAAAAAAAAGTAATATAATACAGGAATAAATCACTAACTCCGAGCTGCGCTAATGAGTCAGGTGGTGAAGAGCATGGCTGTGTATGTACGGTAAGTGAACGTATTTGTTGAGGCAGTGGGCTGTAACTGCGTCTTGAGCCCAGCCGTGTTCCCTGACTCACTCTGCCAATGTGTCATGGCATACATACAGCGCAGCACGGCTGCAGCTGGGTCGCTGACTGGCTGAACACTGTCATGTCGCCCAGAAGATGGTTTGTGTGTGGAAGGAGGTTTTTTTTACATTAAATATGTGCTATTTTATTTTATGATATGCTACGTTTGAATTTTATAGTTCATCATAGCAATTTTTGTTCATTTTTGACATGTCATTTGAAATTTTTTTAAATAATGCTAACCTTGTGCTCACTAAATCGTTTAACTCAAAACCACATCGTATATATAATGGAGTAAGTGTTAAAGAACTGTCTAATAAATATAGCATTGGAGTGTAAGCTTGAAACAATAAAAAATTATATTTTAAAATTTTTTTTAGGTATTTAGCAAATGATTTGCAAATTTTCCTATACTGTACCTGTATTTTTAATGTTATTCCACAAATCCATGCCTTTTGGAAATTTGGGCATGGTGGGATTACAACACGAATTTGCGAGGTCAGACTGTATCATCAAATGATCTGCCTCATTGTGTGTGTTTCATCATTAATAATATAAAATATTAAACTAGAAAAAATTCAATATAGAAATAGTAAAGGGTAATTTGACATAAAAGTAATGGAGACAAATGGACTGTGCCAGGTGGGGGTGTGTGCGCGCGCGTGCATGCATAAGCTAGTCTTCCACTCTCTTCCTGGGAGGATTACCATCACCACTTTGATTTTTTTTTTTTTTTTTTTTACCTAAAATCTTACCATTTTTCTGTGGCTGAATGTGTATTGAATTTACAGCTAACCAATCACAGTGCAGCATTATGGGTGAATCCACTCCAAGAATGGGGGAATAAACTGTTCACTCATGGGTTGAAGAGGAGGAAACAGGCCAAGGGATTGCTGGCTGGTGGCAATTTCAAATGACTCCGCACAGCGGCAATTTCAAACGACAAATATGTAAGGGTTCGGACAAATGTTTCTTGTCCGGAAAGGGTCCGGGCTATCTGAAATCCGAACTTACAGGGTCCAGATTTTCAAGGGTTTACTGTATTATTATTATTTTTGTTCATTTTTATATTTTCAGAGAACCTCCACCCGGTTTTGGAAAAGCTTCACGTAAACTTTGGAGAACAAGAGAAGCACAAAGGATTGAGCTATTAAGAAAGGGACTGTAAGTATCTACTGATGTTGATTTACAGTTTTACTTATACAGGAAAGCGGTCCTACTAACACCGATTCATATTTAAAACCTGGTTAATGTAGGGCCCAATTAAATTTGCACCTTTATTTTATTTGTATTTATGACAAAAAAAAATTAAAAAAAATTTCATATAAATAATAACTAAATCCTGATGTGTATTTATGCCATAACCTAACAACTTGAATTATGTTAAAGATGAATATAATAATGAGGGGACATATGGCACAATAAAAAACAAAAATTGGCAACTGCACAACTTAGTCCTTGATATTTATCACTTAAAATTAATATTACTTCAATACACAACAATGTTAATTGCAAAAGTTAAAACACAAATAAGGACGAAAGTGTGTGTCATGGGTTCAATCACAGCCCTCTTACTTTGTCACAGCAGTTCAGGATTGAAGGTTTGGAATTATACACTGAGAGGTTTGAATAATAGACCGGGTGCTTTGGAGACATTACTCTTGCAGCATCAGACAGTGACTGGCAACCCGGCGCTGCCACAGACAAACTCCCGCCTCAAACATGGGAAAACATATCATATGATGATACTCTATCTCACATCCTTCCCCTCCCCCCCCCAAGTTAAAAGGAAATGACAATGCACATTTGAACTAACGAAAGGAAAACAGTGCAGTGACCAAAAACAATATGCAAGAAAAAAACAAACACAAAGAAAAAAAAATACCTTAAAACTAATTTTACACCACATACACTACACCACATAACCAGCCAACCAACCAACTTGGGTGCCTGCGACCTCTCCTGGGCCTGGCTACTCTTGACTGGGAAGGGGCTGGGGGTGCGAGCGGGTACGGAGGGCACTGCAGAAGGGGGGCCAGGAGGCATAGTGTGGTGCACTACAGGAGTGGTAGGCATGGGTGGGTGCCTGTTCTGCATGGACACCCTGCCACTGCCTGTGAGGACGGGCTTCCACCACTATGCCCGTCCTGTCCCAGAGCTTGGTAGCGGCGTCCTGCACGCCCACAGCTAGGGGAGCCAGCTGGCGGATACCTTCCCCGCTACAGAAAGATCCTGTCCTGAGCTTCGGCCAAGCACTCCTCCCTCATATGAAGCGCCCACTGCCAGTGCTGGTCCACCTTATAGTGCTGTATGGCCACGGGTATTCTGTCACGGAGCTGGCTGCCGGTAGCAAGTTGGGCGGGCGACGTTCACCTCGTGCAGAGGCGTGTTCAGGTACTGAAGGAGGGCCTGGGATGTCCTATCACAGTCCAGGCTACACTCGGGCCCAGTGTTATCCCTGGGGAGTCTCTTGGCGACCTTGACCCCATCCTCTGCCCTGCCATTGCACTGGGGGAAGTGGGTCGATGAGAGCCGCACCTCGACCCCCCATAACTTGAGGAAATCCGTCATTTCACCGCTGGCAAGGTTGGTACCTCCATCCATGGAGATCTGTTCAGGTGCCCCCCACCTCGTGAAGTAACCCTGCAGACAGGCGATGATCTTGCCATAGGTGGCTTCGTTGGGGAAGTAGGTGATCTCCAGCCAACCTGTGAGTCGGTCAGCATATGCTACGTATGTGTGGCCCTGCAGGTGGAACAAGTTAGCCATCACCTGTTGAAAGGGATAGTCTGGCACGGGGGTCAAGACCAACGACTCCGGAGGCTGGGAAGGGGCGTGGGTCTTGCAAGTAGCACACTGGGACCAATGATACTGCAGGTCAGCCTCCATGCCAGGCCAATAGACAGACTGCCGGGCCCGCCTGAGCATGGAGTCGAGGCCCTGGTGCCCCACATGCAGGTTAACGGCGACCTGGTGGTGGAGGGAATCGGGGATGACAAGGTGCACGCAGCCCTTGTCAAAGGAGTAGGTGACCAAACCCCTGACCACAGCCAACCTGTCCCTCACCGAGAAGTATGGGCGCAGACAGGCCACCTCCTGTGACTTGTGGGGGCGCCAGTCGCCCGCCAGCACCCTCGACACTAGAATCTGGTACAATGGGTCGTCAGCAGCCGCATTGCACGGTGTCTTTGTCCATAGTGATGCATCCATCCTGATCCAGTGCTGCGATTGTGACAGCACACACTGCAGTGCCCTGAGGGAGGGGAAGTGGGATAGGGCGTCAGCTGCACAATTCTGCTTCCCTGGCTAGTACTTGACCATGAACTAGAACTGCAGGGTCTTCTCCTTGAGCCTGAATAGGCGTGGATTCGCCACATCGTGAGGGTTCTGTCCCCAAGCAAGCCAACTAAGGGTGGTCGTCACCAGAATGAGGTTCGGGCAGCCAAGGAGGAACAGCCTGGCCTTGCACAGGCACCATACCACCACCAGGGCCTCCCCTTCTACTGCAGCGTAGCTGGCCTCGGGCGTGCTCAGATGTCGACTACCGCACAGAGCCAACCGCCACCCTCCCTACAGCAGAAGGGCATCTCTGGCGAGGGACAGGCACAGTATTGCTGCAGGACGGCCGATGCCCCCGCTCCAATCCGTGACAGCTGCCGTAGGCCTGGATTTGTCGTAGTACACCAAGCCGTCCCTGGCCAACTGACAGATGGTGTCCTGCGCCTGGCGAAATTTGAGCTGCAGTTGGTCATCCCAATACACCCACTTGCCCACTGGCTACTTGAGGAGCTCATGGAAGGGCTCCATCACAGGTGCAGTGGCAAGGAAGGGAGCCAGCTGGTTAACCAGGCCGTGCCAGGACCTGATGTCAGTGATTGATGGCTGGGGAAGTCCTTGATGGCTGACAGACGTTGGGCAGTGGGCTGGCAGAGGTCCCACCCCAGGAGGAAACCCACAAACTCGGCTTCTCTCCTGCAGAACAAGAACTTTTCTAGTTTCAGTGTGATACCTGTACAAGCGCAGGTCTCCAGAAGGTGCCAGAACGCCCCTTCACACTGGAGTCATAGAGGAGATTGTTATCCACGCACTTGTACTTGCGGGGCACATCCTGAATAGCATCGTCAAACCTCTTGGTATAGGCATCTGACGGTGAACAATGTCCCATGGGCGTCCTGCAATATCGAAAACGGCCCCACGGCTTAATGAATGTGGTAAAATCCCCAGAAGGCGTTGGCGATGGTTTTAAACGAGTGCACTGGCACCACACCATGTTGAATGGTGCGGGTGTGAGGTGCTTCTCCCTCAGACAGCTTGCATTGAGGCGTTGGAAGTCTACAGTGCGCCTGGGCTGACAGGTTTTCTTGTCCACCACAACCATCTTGGTGCACCACTCCGTAGCCTCACCAGCAGGCACTGGCTGGATGACGCCTCTCCTAACGTCCTCCAACTGGGCCTTCACCTCCACTTACCAGTGTTTCGGAACGGGAGCAGGTGTGTGACAGATGAAGGGGGTCGCGCCAAGTGTCGGGTGGATACGGCGAGGGGGACCAGTCATGACTGGCAGTGGGGACCTGCTGGTGTTGAATGCGGTCAATGAAAAGTGCGTGAGCAGCCATGCCTCCAACCTGGCCACATTCTCCTCCAAAGGGGGCAAGGGCATCTCAACTGGCCTAGGAGGGACACGACTGCTCCCAGGTTCGGAGGTAGGTCCTCGGCAGTGTGCTACCCCCCCCTCCCCTCCCCTCCCCTCCCTCCATCGCCCACGTCACGCCTATGGAGCGGGAAGTCGACAGGCACCAAGTCGAGGCACTTGCAAGCCTCCAATGACAGGTAGAGGACCTTGGCTGTCTGAATGAAGTAGACCTCCTGGAAGGTGGACCCCTGGTCCACACTGAAGCGGCAGGGGGCGGACCCCAGACACTTGAGCTGTTTGTTTGCCACGTCCCTCAGGCCATTACGGGCCTGAAGTTGCCACGGACACAGACCGATGTCCTGGAGCAGGGATGGCCCTGCTACACACACCATAGTATCCATGTCAGCCACAGCCAGCACAGGGGTGGTGGGGAATTGGCCTCAGCCTGGGTCATGAACACTTGTAACCTGGGGTGGCGGGATAGCTGGGCTGCTGCCACTGGTACAGCACCTGACACATCTACAGAAGTGCTTAGGGCTGTCTTACTCCTACAACACCTTTTGAAGTGACCAACCTTAAAGCAATTGCGACATGTAGCCCCACTTGCAGGGCAGTTGCTTTTGACTGAGGCATGTGTCACGCCGCAGTTCCCACAGTGCGCGTGGCTGGGGTGTCCAGGTCAGGCGGCAGCTACCTCAGACTCACCTGTGACGTCATCACCAACCGCCCCTGCCTCCGTAGCTGTTCCCGCCACTGCCTGGCCATACATACGACACAATACACCAGCATCTCTAACTGCTGCCTCAAATAACATACACTTGTTTCTTAGCACTTCAACACTATTATAACTTGAGTACCCCTGGAAAATTTCCCTTTTCAACACTGGGTTACTCAGGCCCACCATAACTTTACGTAATAGCATGTACTCAGGGAGGTCGTTATCACAGGTAGGACATTTAAAATCACACTCCACTGCCTCTGCGAAGCATCTTTGAAAGTACCTTTTCATGGGCTCCTCTTCACCTTGTTTGCTGTTGAAAAGCTCGTTCCATTGCACAGCTTGGTTTGACGATTGAAGAACCACTCCACTGATGGTGTCCAGGGTTTCCTTGGGCGAGAGCTGCTCCCACTGACCACTGGGATATCTCAAGTCAATCACCCTTTGGAATGCAGGGACACAGTTCAGGCGAATGTGGAGTGTAGCCACCAGCTGTGACCATCCGTTCATCATCACCCACGATTCCATAGACCGCCTCCACGTCCTAAACGCCGCTGCTGGCATTTCTGCCTCGCACTTCTCTGGAGTGACCACTGCTGAGGGCTTCATTGCCGGTGTAGGGGCATGATCGTGGCCCCCAGTAGCCAGAGGCGCCATCTGAGCCATCAATGCACTCATGGTCTGCTGCTGGGGGCATGTGGTGTTCCCTGCCTGTGTATAGATGCCCTGGCATCCCCTTGAGGGCATCAAGAATCATGGACGTGTAGGGGCCATGTTGGTGTCCTCGTCGTGGCTGTTATGGCGTGTCGGGCC